AATAATTTATTTTTTTATATCGACTATTATCCTTATCGACATCCGGTCAATATCCAGCGGATTATACAGTCGATACGGGTTTATAGTATTATTTATACTTACACAAAAATTATAACGAGATATGAGAGGTAGTTTGCAGATAGCATATTACTAAAAGTCCTCTTAGTACATTTTTTTTCGATCGGTTGAAATATTTATATATAGTTATATGTATCTATAGTTTTTAATTTTAAATAATAAAATTTAAGAAATTTGTCAAAATATGCAAAAATATGCACATTTAAATTTTAGATCTGATATCATGGCACCGAGAAACGAATTTATTTCGCATTCTGCTATATTTAACAATAATTAAAAAAAGTATGCAAATGCTAGAAGTCCCTAAGCCTACTTATAACTTATGATATTATTATGGACTGTTATAGGTATAATGTTTACCATGTTCTACCTATATACAGATATTAAATGAATTAAATATACATTATATAGCATTGTTTCTCAACCTTTTTAGTGTCGCGACCCCCAAAATAGGTATAAAATATGGTCAATCACTTCTCGACCCCCCACCCTCCATCTATATAAGGTAAAAATTTGATTTGAATTTATATTTTGTAAATCAGCGTTTTATAATTTTTGACCTACGCGACCCAATTCAAGGTGTTCGTGACCTCCTGGTTGAGAAACGTTGTTATATAGCATTGATATTTGATATATCTATAAATAATAAAAAAATATTTTTTTTTATAGGTACTCCTTAAATATTAAACTTTATCAAAGTTACAAAAATTCATAATTAATTCAATTGGTTAAAAAATCTAAAATCTTTAGTAATTGAATAGTTAATTTCAGGGACCTAACTCTTATATAGAGGCAAAAATAATTAATAATTGATTTCATATTCAGTACTGTATTGTAAATTGAGATAAGTTGATATTTATTATTTAATTTAAATGCTCATATAGTGGATAATTTATATAATTCATTTTGAACAAATAAACAATTTTTACTTGTAAAGAAATTGTGTTAATTATTATATACTTTTTTTAACTTACACAATTACAATGAGTAAAAATTAATGAGTACAGTATAAAATATGAAAAATTATAGCTATTACCAAAAACGTGTATTTTTATTCGTTATTTGATAAAATTAATTATTCATATCTACTAGTTTAAAGTAATCTAATAAACTACTCAATACAAAAAAGTAACAATTTAATTATTACAAAAATGCTACCTATGTAAGCTTGTAATTATATGCAAACATAGTAGTACACGTATTTTTATAATTTTCAGTCTGCTTTGTGTATTCCGTGTACACAGATCAATTTATTAATTTTTTTGTTTAATAATTTTCTTTTAATTTATGTTACTGAACAGATAGTTAATTAGTAGAATACGTTTTATATATATTGTTTCAGTGAATGCCATTAAAAACAAATTAATTAACTCATTATTTATTATTCTACACGTTGTGTTTACATCATTTACAATTCTTATTCGGCGATGGAGCATATGAAAACGACCGACGACTGTAACCCTCCTCATTTAATTTTGTGTTTTTATAGACTACACTACCACAGGCTGCTATGAAATACACTCATAGGAAACATTGCGGGTGTTCATTATATGTATATGAATGAGAATGAATAATGAATACTCCACGGTCATTTACTCTGACCAAGTACTAGTCGATCGAAACTTGTATGCATACGATATGCACTCTTGTATAGAACCTACCACCTCGGTACCAGTGTGAAACCCGTTTATTTTCCTATAACATATCGATTCGTCAATTCATAAGTTAGTATATTTTATAATTTAAAACATTTTTTGTTGGCCTAAATGGTTTCATGTTGGCCTAATCATCGAATAAATTCTGTGGTTTGACGGTTATTCCATGTCTATTTTTGCTTCCAATGGTTTATTTACCACACATTGGATAGAAACATATAGTATAATAGGTATTACAATAGTTGATATCCACTTTTCACAAGTTTAAATTATGAACATTTGAATCAATGCAGTTGATTTTGGTGATGTACCCAATGTATTATTAAAAACTGTGGAATTAAATTTCAATATTAAAGAGGTTATACTTATTTTAGCTGTCTATTCATATTGTAGGTAGGTTAAGTTATTCCATTTAATTTTTTCTATGTTTCTGTTTTGGTGCTACATCATGCACATGTATCGACAGCTGTATAGTTATTTTGATTTAAACACGTTCAATTCAAATTAAATTTAATGTTTTTCTTTTCTTACATATGTATAAATATAATATTATGTTTAGTACACTAAATTTATCAATAATTAAGATTTGGTTTAAAAAACAAATATAGAAACGTGATTTGAATATCATTGAAATTTAATTAGGTTTTAAACTTAAATATTGTTAAAACGATGTATCTTTTTATTGTTTAAAAAAGTTTTACAGTATTGTTAAAGATAATTTTTTTTCTAAATATATAATTTTGTTTTGAAATATATTATTTATGACTCAGCAAGCCTATACGATTTATGTAATTATTACTGCATAATTATAAATGCTTTTAGTGTTTTATCAAATTAAATACATAATTGTCATTGTATTTTTTAGTTAATATTATTGTGCGGCCTTGGTTTTAATTATTTATTAATATCTTATTTTTGTTAATCTATTTTGTTTATTAATTTTTTCGATACATAAATAACTTAATTGTTATTTTACTATCATTACCAGATAGGTGTCCACAATTTACGATGTCATTGAATTATATTATGAATACATCGTTTAAATAGTGAATAATTTTATAATATCGGTTAATTAAAATATATATAGGTATAAGATATTTTTGTTGTGCTTGTATAAATATATTTTATTAACACCTGCTAATAGAATTTATATTTGTATTTGATTCATATTAATATTGAATAAACATTTGTTATTAATGCATACTCGTTATTTAAAATGAGTGTAAAAAAAAAACATTTGTCAACATTGTTAAGAATTAATACTAATATAATTATTAACATTAGTTATTTTGTTAGTAATAGAAAAACGGTTGTATTATTCCCTATAAACAAGGTTGTTTATCATCAATGTCCTAGAGATTATTTGATCGTCGGTCGTACAGGAAAGTATAAAACCAAAACCAATATGTTATGACAACGAAAGGTATTCATCGTAACTTTTATGTGGGCAGTGTTTGTGAGTCATAATTCTCCGTTAACCTCAGTTAGCTTCGTCGAGGTCAACCGTTCATATTGAATCTGCATCTTTGCTGAGTGAAACCATTAAAACATAAACATACCTACTAAAACTTTTCTTATATATTTATAGTGTATATTTCTTATACCTAGTTTGTTAAAAATATGATATGATGTCATTATGTCAGACAAATAATGTACCGCTTTTAAATTACTAAGAATATTGATATTATTTATACATGTTCATATTATGCAATAGAATAAATATTACAATACAATAAAACAAACATAAAAATGTGTATTATCAATACACTATAGGTACAGATTTTGAATAATTTATATACATATTTGGATAAATTCGAGTCTACTTATATAACTTCAAATTCATGATAGCAATTAAAGTTTCTGTTACATATTTTCTATTGTTTTTTTATTTAGACTTTTTGTAATTCAAGTAGTTATATTTTAACTGCGTTATTTATCTTTAAATTTGATATTTTCCGTGTTCTGAGATTGAATTGAATGCGTTTTGTCGTTCTACTAGTGTACACAATTTTATTTCGTTCCATTATTGTGCAAATAATATTATTTGATTATGATTGAGATTATGGAAATGATTATGCAAATGATTATGCAAATGCATTACAATACTTACTTATTAATTTTATATTACAATTATAACATTTTGGCTGGATGACGTCATTAGTTATTATATAAACTAAGTACAATCTACTTGGCGTGTTCATAATGGCATTAAACATAATTTTAAAATTGAATGCTGTTAATACATTTTTCGATTATAAATATTTTTTGCGTTTAATTAATATTAATAATAGTCTTATTTATTATTTATTCTAATATTTATCGCACTTTCATAACACTTATATACTTGCATCTTTTACTATATAATTTATAACAATTGACAAAAGAAAAATATACATTTTTATTTTCTGAGTGAAGTCATTAAATTGAGTCAAAAATCAATACAAAATGTATCTGATAATTTATCTTGGTTAATATTAATGTATTCATTATTTCACCACTTACAAATTATTACATTTTAGTATTTTGTGTCTAGATTTGTTATTTTGCTTATTTATATCATCAGTTAAATAATTATTCAAATATTATTATTAAAAAATGTTAGTATATATTTAATGTTATTATATGTTAAAACGGTATATTAAGCTTGGTATAGGTCAGCGGTTCTCAAACTTTTTTTCGCGTACCACTTGAGTATATTATCAATCAGTCACTTACCACTAATGATTAAAAATAAAACCTTACAAACTTTATATAGTTAAATACATTTATTTTAAATAAAAAGGCAGTAAAATACTACAGTTAAATTATTATTTTTTTATTAATACAATTTTATTAGTGTTTTTAAATTAATATATTAATTAAATATCAAATTTTTAATTTCCGTTCTACCACCATATGGTCTACGTACCACAGTTTGAGAACCGTTGGTATAGGTAATGTTTTTAATATTGGTAGTATTCAGTCAATACTCAAAAATCGGAAATTATATTTAAATGGAGTACATTTTTCAATTGTTTTCCAATAAAGGTATTTTAAATCATTATATTTTTTATGTGCAGTTAATAAGATAATAAGCAGTTAGTGTACGAATTGTTTGAATTACTTATAAGTGCAACATGTATTTTTAAAAACAAATTTATAAAGTAGATATTATTTTTAATGTTATAATTGTTATGTTTATAATTAATTTTATGATGATCTAACAATCATTTTTGAATAATAGAAAGTATTGAAATAATAACTGGAAATAACTGTCGTATTTTTTAGGAAAGAGTTCAAGCAAAAGACCCGCCGGCGCACTACCTGTTTAGACTTCGTACATATTTAGATCCAAAAGCTTCTCGAAGTTCAAGAGTAAGTGAGTTTTTATTAAAAAAAAAAAAAATGTAATTAATTTAAACATTTTACTTAAATGCTAATAGATTTTTATAAAATAATGTATAATATATTTTCTAGAAACGGAAAATGGTTGGAGATGCTACTTCTACTCAGGTGTTAAGGGATCTAGAAATATCTCTAAGAACCAATCATATAGAGTAATATCATAAAAATCATAAAATCATATATTAATATACAACCTAAAATCTAAATTTGATCGTATAGATGGGTTCGTGAATTCCTTGATGACCAAAATCATGGTTTAGATTCATTAATCGACTATCTAAGCTTTAGATTAGTGATGATGCGACATGAACATAGGGCTAAGACAGATGTAACTAATGTTTCGACCGAAAAAATTGCTCAAGGTATCCGAGTATTTTTAATCCAATAGTTTGGAAAATGGTATATTTTAAAAATTTGTTATTTTTACGTAGGTAACCATATACATACAAATGGGATTAGTAATGGTAATGCAACGAATCATGCAAGACCTACTTTAGACATACTTGATAGCCCTGGGATTAAACGGAGATCGAGGCATGCAGCAAAATTAAATATGGGCGATACCAAAGATGATATACACGTTTGTATAATGTGTTTACGGGCTATTATGAACAATAAGGTGAAATATCTTAAATATTTTTTTAATAATTCAGAGAGAACAATCTTAATAAATCCAATCTTGCATAGAATAATATAGTTTGAATGATATGGTGTAAACATTTATAATAAATAATGGTTATCAGTTATTTGATAAATAAAAATGGCGTTCGACCTAGATGTATTTTCATATTTATTCTAGACTATATTGATTATACATTTGAACTTTAATCAAAACTGGCACATTTTTCTGCCAGTTAAATGGCATTTTCATTAAGGTATTTGATGGTTTGTATGTATAAAATGACCTTTAAAGGTTAATATGCATTTTCAAAATATATTTAGTTTTTGTGTCTTTATTAATATGAAATGGGATATATTTAAATAATTATGCTATAAAATCTCGGCAACTTAAAGCCTTGGGCACCATAAGAAGAAAATAAATTGAAAATAAATTACTTAGTTGTATCATCGTATATTTGTTTAACAACTTAAATTTTGTTTGTTAGTTTAAAATTTAGTAAATAAATCAATAACTTATAATTTTAGTGTTCCCTGTTTCTATGAAAATTTTAATCATTCATGTACATTTTCACTATATTATAATCATAGTATTTTTTCTTATAAAATGAATTAATGTTAATTCTTTTTATATTTTTCAGGATAAGGGTTTCTGAAAATTTAGCTTAATTGTGCCATTTCAGCCACAGTACCTTTTTTCTCTATTGGCCAGTGCTAATTAATAATATAAACATTTAGTATTTATGTAGTCTTATACTACATCAGGGACATACCTAAAAAAATTTTTGGGAATGGGGGTTCGATATTTTTACTACCACATTTTTCAAATGTATTTATTTTTCATGATAATAATTTTAGTATTTTATTTCTTAGTACTGTATAGATCGATAATGGGTTATATAAATAACCTTGGCAAATGTTTATGATAGGTATTAAACTTAAATTGTATAAAAATATTAAGCAATATTTTTTTCTAAATTTATTAAAATTTCGGAGGTGGTAAACACCTAAAACCCTCTCCTTAGATACGTCCCTGTACTCTATACTCAAATAGCTGCCAGAGATCTGATCGGGCCAGGCCAGTCCATTTCGGCCCGTGTCATAATATAAATATTGCAGGTTCGTTATTGGTGGGATTGTAGTATTTTCCTTTAGATCGGGCCGGTCACAAATAAAACTACCTTTGGTAACCAGGGTAATTGGTTTTCACAAAAATTAATTAAATTATAAAATAATTTTTTTTTACCTACCTATTCTCTGATAGTAGTTATTGTCAATATTATATAGTCATTAATGATATAAATAACATTTTTCATATAATATTATAAGAGTACATACAATACTAAAGCCAATTATTGGCATTAGATAAGGAAATGTTTCCAAACTGATGGAGTAGGCTTGTCACAAATCATTATAAAAGTACGTATATATTATTAGTCTATATAATATTTATAAATAGATCACTAATAAAAAATAAATAAATAAATAAATAAATATATAAATTGCGAATAGGCCTGATCGGGTCGGACTTAAAAAAAAAATTAAGGACCGGGCTGTGGTGGAGGCATTTTTTCAAGTTTAAATTTCGGGCAAGACCGGGCCGAAAAAAATGGCCAATGCAGATCTCTATGAGCCGTATCTATTTATATTTTTTATTTTCTCATGGGCAGTGGTGACTCTGAAATGCCCTTGTGGTGACCATAGACAGCAAAGCTAATGAGCTCCTTGATTTAGAATGTAATCCTTAAAGTTAAAATAGTAATATTTGATATAAAATATTCAACAATACTTAATTTTTAACATTTTAATGTCTTTATTATTCTAAGTGTATACTGTAAGTATATTTTATTAATTCATCACTTTTTTTTTTAATATGACTAAAATAATTAATATGATCTTAATAATTTAATTATTTTTAAAGAATTTATTTTAAAAGATATTAATATATTTATTTTTCAAACCATCATTTTCACATTGATAAAAAGAATTGTAAAGTATAATCAGTATTGTATTCATATTCTAAAATAAATCTGAATTCTTATGGTTTAATTTACTGTTTCAGTACGGATTAAATATGGTCATTCAACATACCGAAGCAATAAATAGCATAGCTTTGAGCTTAATGCATAAAAGTTTAAGGTATAATATTACTATAATATTTATGTTTTTGTTTATGTTTATATATATATATATATATATATAAATTTAATATAAATGGATGTTTATATTAATTTAGGACTAAAGCTTTAGTATTGGAACTTCTAGCTGCTATATGTCTAGTCAAGGGTGGTCATGAGATCATTTTATCTGCATTTGACAATTTTAAAGAAGTCTGTCAGGAAAAAAAACGTTTCCAAACTTTAATGGATTATTTTATTAACTATGAAGTTTTTCATATAGAATTTATGGTATGTTTGATGAAAATGTATTCAAATACAAAATATCAATGGTGTTTTTAATTATGAATGTTACATACATGTAGGTTGCTTGCATGCAATTTATAAATATAATAGTACATTCAGTTGAAGATATGAATTTCCGGGTTCATCTACAGTACGAGTTCAGTACCCTTGGACTTGATGATTATTTAGACAAACTGAAACATACAGAAAGTGAAGAGCTTCAAGTTCAAATTTCTGCATATCTTGATAATGTATTTGATGTAGCAGCTTTAATGGAAGATAGTGAAACTAAAACTGCTGCTTTAGAAAAAGTTGAATCTCTTGAGGATGAACTTGCACATGTATGTATAATAAATTAGAGTAATTTGTTAAAATAAATTTAAATTATAATAATTACAATTTGTTTATTAAGGCTCATGATAGGTTAACTGAATTAGAACGAGAATCATTAGCTCAGTTAGCTGGCTTAGAGAGTGCTCTTGGAATGGCTCGGGCGGAAAGAGATGCTGCAGCAGAAAGTAAGCGCGCAATTGAAGAAGAAGTAGCAACACTGCGAAGGGTTGTTAATGATCAAAAAAGAGAATCTCAATCTAGACAGTCCATGCTTGAAGAAAAAATTCAAGAATTAATTTCACGAGGAGCTCAACCTGACTTAAGTAATAATTTTAAAATAGTTATTTTTTATTTTAACTCCTAATAATTATTGTTTAGGCTCCAGCAGTGGTATTTCAAGTTGTTCTTCAACAGGCAGCAACAGTATATCAGCATCACCACCTCCACCACCTCCACCCCCGCCCCCTCCACCTCCACCTACTGTTTCTTCAACAGTTATGCCACCTCCGCCTCCTCCACAAATATCTCCTAAACCTACAGGTATACCTGCACCACCGCCACCTGCCCCCCCTTTGGCAGGTACCATGCAAGCACCAGATGGTGCGATGACAATTAAGCGAAAAGTACTGACCAAGTATAAGTTACCAACTCTAAATTGGGTGGCAATGAAACCTAATCAAGTATTTACTATTATTATAATTTTATATAATTTTTTTTTTTCTGTAATATTATTACTTATAAATAATATTTTAATAATTTAGGTCCGTGGTACAATATTCAATGAATTAGATGACGATAAGTTACATTCTGTGATAGACTTTGGTCAGTTTGAAGAGAAATTTAAATTGACAGCTGCTGGTCGGGCATTGATAAATGGGGATTCTGATCAACACGATGGACTTATGACATATCCTAGTAAACGAATGAAAAAACAAGATAATATTTCACTTCTAGAACATACCCGTTTAAGAAACATTGGTTAGTTTAAACATTAATTAATGTCATAAATTGTACTTTAATTTAAATGCTTGTTTAGCTATTTCAAGGAGAAAACTTGATATGCCTGTTGAACGTATAATAATGGCTGTAAATTCTTTGGATTTGAAACAGCTACCTTTGGAAAATGTTGAAATTCTTCAGCGAATGATTCCTACTGATCAAGAAGTAAGTTTTGATAATACAACTTATTTTTTAAATGACATTTTTTTATTTATATGTGCATATATATAACGTAGGAGTTTTTCAAGTTCTGAATCATTGTATAATTGTTCTTTAGTAATGAACACTCCTTTATTTGATTTAGTACTTAACATTGGATGATATTTTTTTACCATCTCAATTACCATACATTTTACCATTTCTTTATGCTTCTTTTCAAATTCTCTGCAAATATTTTTTTTATAATCTTCCATAACTTTAGACCAAGTATCATTTTTTTCCTGAATCTTCTTTATCCATCTTTTTGTCCTTTTTACATCCAAACAGTACTTTCTTGTATAATATCCTTTATAATTTTTTTGAATAATTATAGCTGCTTTGTTGTAGTGATCAATAGACTTAATTATAAATGTTTCTATTATCAGATCATTGAAGTACCTAAAAAATATCTGACACTAAGTGAACACTAACTTATTTGTATTATTATTACCTTTTAGCCATATATTCTTTCCAATGTTTTTGAATAATTATAGCTGCTAAATTTAACTTAAGAAAATATAACCTTGTATAATATCCTTTGTAATGTCGTTGGATAGTTATTGCAGCCAACCTATGAGCTTCAATATATTGAACTCCGTTTCTCTGTTTCTCTTTTAATATTGTATCTATGTTTAGTTGGTTATTAATTATGTTTTCTACAAAGGCCATAATAGAAAACTTATAATTAAAATTCAGTTGTTTTAAAACTGATAGAGAGTTTGTTTATTTATGTTAACAACTAAAGATAACAAATCTAATTTATTTATAGTTAGTTGTATTACATTTATTGTAATCTATTTTCATCTATAAATATTTTTGATATACACCTTTTACTTATTACATTTACAAATATTTCATTATTTCATTATTTCATCATTATGTAGAATAATTTGTCAGCTATTTATCTTAATTGCTTAAGTATCATTTACAAAAATGTACTACAAAATTATCAATGAAACACATTTAAAGTTTAGTTAAAAAAAATATATTAAAAAATGAATGTATATTTTTAAAATGGAAAATTTTTCTGTATTAAATTTTACTTTATTTTATTACTCTAGGTAAAATCATATAGAGAATACCAACTAGAGAAAAAAGATATAAACATGTTAACTGAGGAAGATAAATTTTTAATGCAATTAACTAAAATAGAACGACTGGCAACCAAACTATCCATTATGAGTTATATGGGTAACTTTATGGATAACTTACATTTAATATCACCTGTAAGTTAATACATTTTGGAATGATAAATTGATGAGTTCAAAATTACTTATATTATATTAATTATAGCAAGTGCATGCCATTATATCAGCTTCAAGTTCAGTGAAGAATTCTAAAAAACTACGTCAATTGCTGGAGATAATATTAGCATTTGGTAACTATATGAACAGCGCAAAACGTGGTCCAGCTTATGGATTTAAACTACAATCATTGGATACCTTAGTTGATACTAAATCAAGTGACAAACGCATGTGTCTTTTACATTTTATTGTTGATACTGTTAGGTCTAAAATGCCAGAAATTATGAATTTTGATTCAGAATTCATGTACATTGACAAAGCAGCAGCTGGTATGATTTATTTAGATAAATGTTGTTTTTATTGATTACTAATTCATTATTTTGTTTAGTATCATTGGAAAATGTCATAACTGATGTTAACGAGTTGGAAAAAAATATGGAAATTGTAAAGAAAGAATGTGAGCCTCGAGGTTTTGGAAATGCTCAACATGTCTTAGTCCTTCGAGATTTTCTTAGTAATTCTGAAGACAAATTAAAAAGGTTAAAAAATGAGACTAAAACAGCTCAGGAATCATTTAGAGATTGTGTAGAATATTTTGGTGAACCACGGCGAGGTACTGATGCTAATACATTTTTTTCAATGCTTGTGAGATTTGTTAAAGCATTTAAGGTGAACAAACACTAAAATTATTTTAAATTATAATTAGTCATTTATTTAAATTCATTTTTACAGTTTCTATAATTGAATGTTAACATTTTTTTTTAGTATTCAAAATGTTTATTACTGCATATATTGTAATTATATATTCATGTGCTTGACAATGTTAAATCTATTGTAGACTGCCGATGTTGAGAATGAACAAAGAAAACGATTAGAAGATGCTGCATGCCAGATGAAAATGAAATCCAGTAATGAAAACTTAGTTTCCAAGAATAAAATTAATCAAAAAATGCAGCAAGTACGTCCATTTTATTGTAATTATATACATAGGTTGCAAGATTAAATACTTTTAGTTTTATAAATTTTTCTGTTTATTAGAAATGTGTGTAATTTTAGTATTTATCTTTAATTTGCTTTCATCTTAAAGATTTGTGTATGATTTTTGGTTTTGGTATAAAACTATTTGTAATATAATAAAAAATTTGTTTTTTTTTATTGTTTGTTTTTTTATTATTACTTTTTAATTTATGTTATTTGTTTATTTAAATTAGTGTTTGGTCATTTTTTTCATTTTTCTTTTTTTACATTTCCATGAACGCACTAATCATTAATTTAAAAGGTTTAAATCATTGTAACTTCAATCATATACTTGAAGCTTTATATATGCACCTGCACTTCATAACATGGTTACTGATGCCGGATCAGAATTTCATATAGGTACCAATCCAGTCCTATTTATTTAAACTTTTGAGTGTAGATGGAAAAATGAAGTACCTATTCATATTTAATGATCTTTTAATACATAATGAATTAACAGGATAAAGCTAATAAAGCCTAATTATAAGACATTTAAGTTTTATTATTTTTTAATTGTTATAATATAAATCATACTATCATCAGTATTTGTCATTTTTATTAGAACTGGATTTAGTACTGTGCAATTTGCACCATTGTTTAGTTTTGTATATTTAATAAAAAAAAATGATTGTGTTATTGATATATGTTTCATATAATTTGTTGCTGTGTATTATAATTTGTCATTGTCAATATCAAATATTTAATTTTTTTTTCTTACTTCATTTACTCATCATTAATAATATTTTTGGAATATTTTTATTAATTCGCTTGAATATTTGACGAATACTTTATTTTTTTTTTTTTTGTAGGATGCTGTTATAAATGAACTAAAGAATAAAACACAAATGGTTCAAGAAAAGAAACTGTTACATCAAGATGAAGTATATAATGGTGCATTGGAGGATATTCTTCTAGGTTTGAAAAATGAGCCTTATAGGAGAGCAGATGCTGTTAGAAGGAGCCAAAGACGTCGCATTGACAGTCATCGATTATCTAGGACATTAGAAGAATTAGAATTTTAATTGTCACTGTAATATGGTAAGGTACAACAATAAATAAATATTTAAAGGAACATTTACCATAACTTATTTACTTATAGAATAGTATATTAAATAATCTATGTTCAGATTATAATTCCTTTATTAGATTATTTTGCTTTAATACTATTTTGAATCAAAATAATAATACTTAAGATACACTTATAATTTTTATTTAATCATCCCAATTATACCATAAGCACCCATTTTATGTTGTGTGGTAGAGATCAATTGGGTGCAACTTGTGTTTTGAACTGTTAATTGTTAGAAGGGGGTGTTGATTTCTTCATCCAGAACAATGGTCCTGCTCGGAAAACAAAACTGCTAGTGACCTGGTTAGAATAAGCAACTAAGCATTTAAGCTCAGTCACCTTATACAGCTCAATCATAAAACCCTCAATTATTAATAAATTTATAATCTTTATTATTTTTATAATATAGGTAAATAAGATTTTGTTTTATTAAAATGTTTTGCTATTAATGTTTAAAACATTAATCAATAGTAATTAATACATGAAATATGATTAATATATATTTTGGAGTATAAAAATTTATATATTTAATTTTTTTTTAGATTATTCCATTTACATATCCAAATACTCATGACTACAAAGTTAAGTTATTAAGTTCCAGAATTAAATATAACTATGTATTGTTAAATGTACTCATAATATTATTTTGTTTGTTGTTTTACATGTTTATTGGTATACATTGAATCTATATTATATATATATATATTTTTTTTTATAAGAATGATAGTTATAAGTTTTTTAAGACTAGAAAAATGGAAACAATGATTTAAAATTTCTTTTTTTATTTACTAATTAATAGTTACATTATAGATTATTATGAATTGTTTTTAAATTTACTTGTACCATTAAAATTATTGTTATTTATTTATTTTGGTTACAGTAGAATCTTCTATTTCTGTAATTGCTAAGATTTACCTTATGAAAATGAAAAAAAGAAGACTATTAGAAATGTTTATGTATTTGTCTAATATCAATAATAATGTTCATTTTTACCTATGCAATTTATAGTTGTCTTGTATATTTTACTAAATTTTTGTAACTTATTATTTACATATATTTTAATTTCACCTTTGGAAATCAGATCTTATTTTGAATTTCTTGAAATTATGTTATGAACTTAATTAAATATTCTCGAATGTTTAGTAAAATGCAAGTAAAATGTGATTTTATTAATTTATATAGATATAATATTTTTTTATTTGTCATTGACATGGTTTTTTTTTACCTTTATATATGTTATTAAAACAATGTTTGAAATATTATTACCTGTAAAATGTTGAGCTTAGTTGGAAACAAAATCTCATGATTTGTAACAAAAGAACCTAGAGTAAACAATAAGATAAACAAATAGTCAATATATAGCGATTTATTTTTAAATTATGTAAATTATTACCAATCGGATATGTATTTCGACATTCCATTATTTTTTTGTATAGATTTATTTAAAAAATTAGTGTCAAATTGTGGTGGTGCTTATAGGTATTAGTTTTGAAAAATTATTTTTAACACTGATTTCTGTAAAAATTAATTAGACATGCTGAAATTAATTTTGAACATTGTTTTTGTAACTGTTCGTTTTCCTAGCTATTATTAATGATATTATACCATAGGTTCAATGTACTATATGCAGAGACTGATCTTGTATTGATTTGAAGGTCATAATTTTAGATTTTATAATTGCCATTATTATTAAGTATAGAATTATGAACTTCTAAATGTACATTATCTATTTCTGTATATATTGTATTAAACTAATGGTGTTGTTGGGTTTGGAAATTCATCATAAACAAAATTATTCTTTGGATTTTAACACCAATGCAATTTTAATTTGTCCTCTTAATTTATAAATGATTTTAAAAATGTTTAACTATATATCGAATTTGATTATTTTTTTTTTTTAACTGAATATTTAATAAATCAGTTTTAGTGCCATCAGAATGAATTATTTAAAAATAAATCTTTATTTATTTCAACTGTTGATATTTATAAATATAATACTTGTCTTATTGTCTTGAAAACTAATAAGTGTTAAGCTTTTTTAAATTATTTTTTTAGTATTATAGATAAAATATTTTAGATTGTTAATTGTATAATTTTTGTACACATGTTAAATGTGGTTTATTCTGTGTTGAAGTAGCCTTTCATTCTAGCATACAAGATTTTTTTATACAAAAGTTTTATAATTGTTTATTTTATTTGTAAACGAATGCAATTTACCTTAATGTATGAATTTACCACTAGAAGGTTTTTGTGTGAACATTATACACCCTATGAATGCAATAAAGTTACATTTTATTTTTTAAAACAAAAAAAATTGATGATCTTTTGTTATGTTTTGTCTTTTCTCTTGTTATTCATGTTGCTATCATTGTTCCTTATCATACATTAAATACTTTCTTAATCATAAATTGATATGGGTAGCAGGTGGTCAAAAATATTAATCTTAGGATTTTATTCATTCCTGAAATATTTAACAATTCGTTTGTAACTACAAAGAAAAACGTTTTAAAAAAATACTTACTATTTTGATTTGTTTTTAAAACTTACTCAAATTATGTTTATAAACTAATTTTAAAATATATTTATTAAATAATATTAATAAAATAAATATTAGTTTTGCTAAGACAAAATTTAGTAAATAGGGTTGATACAAAGTTAAATTAAATGTGTGTTATTTTAAATGCAACGCTCCATTGTGCACAAAGATTACCCTCTGTCCAATAAACAACTGATTGGTTTGGTGATATCGGTTGATCTTTAAATATTTCCGAATGATATAAGTTCAAGTTTTAAAAGCCAAATGTTATGCATTAAAATTGTGCAAAAGAGATTCTCTAAGGATTATACACAGCACAAAAAATGTTTAGCAGATTGTTTTAAATATTGATATGGCTTCCATTAAATTATATTATGTTTAATATATATATTACACTATATTTTGACTGCATGTGTTATTATGTCACTGTGGCAAATGTAGATCGTTCGTTGTTATAAATTACTTAAGAATCTCCATATCACTTAACCACCCAACAAATATTCACATTTTAAACATTGAGGGAAATCATACAATAATATTTGTATTAATGAACATTTGTTTTGTTTGTTTTTGGTTTTAATAATAAACCAATACATAAGTATTCCTTATACATATGTTTCATAAAAAATAAGTGCTTTAGTATTTATAATATATTAGTATACTAGTATAAAAAATGGTATTACGACTCCAACCAGGATACACTTGTGATATAAAGTAACAAAATGAAAAATAAATCATATTAATACATTTTTACATAGGTAGACATATTAAAACATTTAAAATAAGGAGTGTGATTATTATCATGAATTTATTATTTATTTGTATATTTTATCTATAAAAAGTGTTGTGGTAACTGGTGAAGTATTTGAATATGTTTATGATATTTTCAATATGGGTGATAAGGGGCCTCTTAAATTAGTTTGCAAACCTATGTCTCAAATCGTAGTTGCAGTAACTGTATTTTTATTTTTAATGATTAAAACTATTTAGCAGAAATTATAGCAGACAAATTAACTTGTTATTAATTGTACTCTTGAATTAATTTTGTCCATTTGTTATTTTACATGTATGATATTTATATTATATTTGTTTTAGCAGAATAATCATTATAAAGTTTTTTTTAAAACTTGAAAAATATAAACAAAAATTTTAAATGATTTACCTTACAGATTAAATATTCTCTGATAATGTATATAGCTAACCTAATCTATGCATACCCAATAATTAGTATTTGCCTTTTAAGCGAATGTTAAAATCTTCAAAATAAATTTATGAGAATGGCACTAAAAATCCTTAGATTCGTATAAAATAAATACATTTAAAAACTTGCACAAAAGAATTAACAAAACCAAAAGAGCACTTCTTCACTTAAATAGCCATTAATCACTAACTTCAGAATAAAACCATACCTATCCTAAAATATGTTTTTCAAAGCTCACAAGGATCAACTAACAATCTGACAATTAATAAGATATTTATTTATGTTTAAATTGTGTCCATTACTATACCTAAACAGATGAATGCTATTAGTGTACACTTGTGAAAAAGTAAAATACTCCCACATAATATGGTGAAAATATTAAATTTGTCAAGAAAAATAAAATTTAATCTGATTGTATTTTAATAGGTTGTCGGAAACTAACAAAATATTTTAAAACTAATTTTATAATAATGAAGGTAACAAATATTATTATAAATACAAATATTAGTATTGCTAAAATTACATCCAACAGGTAGTATTGATACCAAGTTAATTCAAATGCATTTGATTTCAAATGTGAGGCTCCTTTGTGATGAATAACATACTCAGTCCAATAAACAACAGACTGCTCTGGTGACATCTGTTGATCTTTAAATATTTCCGAAGTGGATTTAGCATTTTTCATGTACCTAAAATTAAAAAATTGAGGAAATTATAATCGTTTTACAGTTATGAATCAAATATTTTATACTTTTCATCATTAAGAAGATCTAAAATATTTTTTAACAATGAATTTTTTGTTACAGTCATAAGATCCATTGAAATTGCCATTCCATTGTTTAATAAAGTGTCTATATTTTTTGGTTGATCTCCAAATAAAGGAAATCCAAGAACTGGTATTCCAGCATCAACTGCTTCGTACAACCCAAATATGCCTCCATGACTAATAAATAATTTCACATTTGGATGTGCTGTAAGAAGTCAATGATATACATTTTTTTTTTTCAAAATATTTACTTTGCAATGCTTTTTTACTTAGTATATCACGTTGAGGTAGCCATTTTTTTGTCATTATGTTTTTGGGTTTATCTTCCAATTCTTCTTCCTATTTCATCAATACTCTTTGAGGAAGTTCTGCTAGAGCTTCCAGAAATGCTTTTTTAATGTGTTCCGGTAGTGATGACATTTTAACAGTAGAACCAAATGAAAAATAAATTACCCCATTGTGCGATTGTTCAATGAATTCCAAAATGTCCTATCATTATAAAATATAATTTTATACATAATAAAGTAATTAGATAAAATTAGTAAATTAGGCAAATTAGTAAATAAAATAGTAAATTATTAAATTGTGTGTTACATCTTTCATCTCGCTTAATACATTTTTAACTATTTAATTTTAATTACTGTTAAACTGAATAATGGACCCAACTCAGCATACTAATATGGTAGCCAAAAGTCTGTGGGTGTACATTTCTATCTTCTAGTCATTATATAAGTTTTTCTATTAGAATATTATTAAATTTGTTAAAATGCAATGCTATAATATTTTCGATAATGAATAACATATTTAATATACGATTTCTATTGCTTGTCAACTGAACCTTCATAGTATACTGTTAGTCAATTATTTATTAGCGGCTATAGAAATCAATATTTATTTTTTACATATTACGTGCCTACTTTTTGTAAACGTTTAGGTGCCTTCAAATGTATTCCACCAACATTGATGACATTCGCTGCCAGTGGCTTAGGTGCTTCGCTTATGAAATGACCATTTACAAATACCAATGAAGGTGTCACGGGTTGAATCAAATCGTACTCTTTAGGTTCTGAATACTTCAATTTAAGTTCAGTGTATTTGATCACGAATGTGCTTATAATATACACGATGGTGTTGGACAACCTTTGGACAAATGTTCTTGGAATTCTATAGTTGACCATAATGTCGGAAACCAACGCA